CTTTTCTAAGGTACCTTTTCATATTTTTTATGACTTGCTACAGTTACTATTTTGAAGTGGGATTCACTAACCTGCCATATTGGTGTGCAGTGCTCTGTTTCTTTGTCTGTCGTGTGTCCAAAGCAGCTTCCAAAGATTAAAGCACTATACAATGCGGTGAGTTCACTAGATGTTTAGCTAGCTTAAGTGTTTCTTTTGTTATTCTCAGTGCTACAAACTAACGTAAGATTATTCTATGAGAAATGTGAAGATTTTCTTCTTCTTCTAAATGCAGGCAAAGCTCAATCCACAAAGTGCGGACTTGTCAATGGACGCGGTTAAGAACGCTTTCTATCTTGTCCTGATCTCAGAGAATTTCGTGGAGGCACGTGCTGCCTTAAGTCATTCTGCTACAAGTTTGCCACAGACCCAAAGCCCTGTGAAAGTGGACAGGGCCACTGTTGCCCCATCTCTTCCAGTCACTGGGCAACCTCCAGCTCCTGTGGTCTCAGGTTCTTATGCTGACTTGACCCCTTATTCCGTTTTTAGTTGAACTATCTGGATTTCGATTTGTGCGTCAGAATTTTATTTGAAGATCTCTTTTTGTATGATTTTCAGTCAATGGTCCTGTTCTGAATCGTCAACCAGTTTCTGTTGGACCAGTTCCTACCGCTACTGTGAAAGTTGTAAGTCTACTGATCTTCTAAGCCACTTAGAGGAGGCAGCTTTATAGAAAACTATATGTTAAACATTGTTTTAGATCTTGTTAAGTTGGTATAATTCTAAGTTCTTATGAATATTACCACTTAAATATCGAAAGTAGTATTGTATACTGAATCAACTTATTAGATAACATCAATTTATAAATATGTATAAGAGCTTGTTAATTGGACTCTATTTCAGGAGCCTAGCACTGTATCTTCAATGGCAGCAGTTCCAAGTTTTGTCCCGTCTGTAGCTCGGCCTGCCACGCAAGCAATTCCTTCAATCCAAACATCTTCAGCATCGCCAGTTTCTCAAGAAATGGCCACCAACGCCGATAATGCACCAGATATTAAGCCTGTGGTGAGTGGAATGACGCCACCACTGCGTACCGGTCCTCCTGGTGGAGCCAACGTAAATCTGCTGAACAATCTTTCTCAAGTTCGACAAGTCATGAGCTCTGCAGCTCTGGCAGGTGCAGCCTCGTCGGCTGGGCAAAGCGCGGTTGCGATGCATATGTCAAATATGATATCAACAGGAATGGCTACATCTCTGCCTACTTCACAAAACGGGTTTTCATCTGGACAGCAAGGAATAACTTCAATGGCTGGTTCGGGTGCACTAATGGGAACTGCACAAGCGGGACAAAGCCCCGGTCCTAATAATTCCTTTAGTCCTCAAACGACGTCAAATGTTGCTTCAAACCTTGGTGTCTCTCAACCAATGCCAGGGATGAACCAAGGAAGTCATTCTGGAGCACAGATGATGCAAGGCATTTCCATGAACCAGAATATGATGAGTGGTATCAGTCAAGGGAATGCCTCTTCTGGAGCAGGTGGAATGATGCCTACACCAGGAGTTGGCCAACAAGCGCAATCAGGAATACAGCAACTCGCTGGCAGTAACAGTTCAGCTCCTAATATGCAGTTGTCACAGCCATCGTCAGGGGCTATGCAGACTTCACAATCCAAATACGTTAAAGTCTGGGAGGTAATGTCGGTTTTGCCTTGTCTAAAAATAGCGGTGGTCTTATGATAACTTAACTCACCGTTTCAAATTCATACAGGGAAATCTGTCTGGGCAAAGACAAGGCCAGCCTGTTCTTATCACCAGACTTGAGGTGTGTTTAGGGCACTTACCATAACCCCTTTTTATGTCTTTTGCGGGATCATATACTTGCTTAGTGCTTAAGCACATCTTCCTTTGTTGAGTTGGTCTGATCAGATGGCAACGTCTTTGTTTGTGTTTGACAGGGCTACCGAAATGCTAATGCGGCTGAGTCGTAAGTTCATTCAATAGCAGTCTACTCCTTGAGAAATTATTGAAGCTGCTAAAACAGTTTTTTTTTTTGTTTTCTTTGTGTCTCCACAGGTTGGCAGCAAATTGGCCCCCGACTATGCAGATTGTTCGCCTCATATCCCAGGATCATATGAATAACAAGTACTATCTTCTTGCTGTAGTTTTTCTTAATGGGTGGATGTTGTTTTATTGCCACTAATTTTTATCACTGAATTTGCATCAGGCAATATGTTGGCAAAGCTGATTTCCTTGTATTTCGGGCCATGAGTCAGCATGGTTTCTTAGGACAACTTCAGGATAAGAAGCTTGTGAGTTTTGTTAATATTTCATGTTACTTGTCTCCGTTTCCAGTTTACTCCCCTCGTTTATTCTACAATTTAAAAGCAAAATGACGACTGCGGTTACTGGACTTGCATCTTTATACATGTTCTCTGTAAATCTATTAATTTCTTACTCATTATGACGCCTACACTTAGTAGCCTTGTTTTGATTTGCTCAATCGTGTGCCATGCTGTTTTCATCTTCACGCTTAGCTCTTGTGGAATTGTATATGATAATAACTGTGTCTGCCTCTGAAGTGCAGTGTGCAGTCATCCAGCTGCCATCGCAGACGCTGCTTCTCTCCGTCTCTGATAAGGCTTGCCGCTTGATTGGAATGCTTTTTCCAGGGGTAAGTAAGCACCTAGTAAGGTGTCTATAGATGTTTTTACTTCACATGTATCCATTATCTAGTGGCTCTCATCTTGATTTAAATGAAAAGCAGTCAGAAGTTACAGAATCGTTTGCTTTTCTCCCAGGATATGGTTGTGTTTAAGCCGCAAATTCCAAATCAGCAACAGCAGCAGCAACAACAACAACTGCAACAGCACCAACAACAACAACAGATCCAGCAGCAGCAGCAGCAACAACACCATCACCAACAACAACAGCAACAGCTGCCACAACTTCAGCAGCAGCAGCATCAATTGTCACAGCTCCAACATCATCAGCAGCAACAGCAGCAACAACAACAGCAGCAGCATCAGTTGTCACAGCTTCAACACCATCATCAACAGCAGCAGCAGCAAACGTCGCCACTGAATCAGATGCAGCAACAGAATTCGCCGCTGAATCAGATGCAGCAGCCTCAACAGATGGTTGGGACAGCAGTAATGGGTGGTCAAGCTTTTGCACAAGCTCCTGGAAGACCACAACAAGCTAATGGTGGTGGTGGTGGTGGAGGGCAGCCTAACTTGCCAGGAGCTGGCTTCATGGGATAAAGATTTAGAAACCTCTTCTTCTTCTTTTCGCTAATTAGTTTCATCCTATAACATAAAATTCTTTCTTTCTTCCTTGTATGGTCAACTTGATCGAGGCCATGGTTTCAGACTACAATTTAGTTCGCGTCTTTTGTCTCTCTCACTCTCTCTTCGCCTTCTGCCTGAACCTGAAAATGGCATACTCTTGTGGGTCTGACCATTAAGTCATTAACACAACACCGACCTATTTTGTTTTCTGTCTTAGAGAAATTATATATATATAAATTATTAAAAATAATTGTGGTTTGTCTCTAAGTTATTATCTGTTAGCTCGCTTTTTATCCAATTAACAAAGAAATAGAGGATCAAAACCAAGTCGAAATTACATCATTATCAAACTATAATTATTAAAAAATCTTAAATACTGTATATCTTTTAAACATCTTCATAATCTTTTTTTGTTCCTTTTTGCTTGATACAATTCTAGACCGTATTCTACTTATCGTTAATATCTGTTCACAAATCACAATCACAATAGTAGATCGTGTTCTACTTATAGTCTTATAGTTAATATTTGTTCACAAATCACAATCCTAGCTTCATTATCCCACACAACAATGCTTCTTATGTTGTGTGTTTGTAGCCCTTTTTCAACCTTTTGTTTTGTATCAAAACGCCTTTTGTTTTGCTCCGTTAGAATTATCATCTCTCACTTTGGAAATATTCCTATTTTAAAAATAAAACAGCAATAGATCTAAATTATTGATAAGCTGTCTAAAAAACGAAAGAAGAAAAATTAATTATAGATACATATTGATAAGACATAGCAACTATGACGCGCACTAAGACAAAATCAACTGCCTTTTTTGAAATGAAGACGACAAACATGACCTCCTCTTCTCCACTTTCTTGAGCTCATTCACTTTCCAAATATTAAGGTGAGTTACTTAAGGTGGTGGATCCCATTCAAGTGGCACACAAAAGTGCTGTGAAAATTTGTACCAATCTCCAGCCATGATACCGATTCACCGCACCCACTGGATTTTCTCAATCAAATCATGTGAATGTGAACCAAAGGCCCTTTCTTAAAAGATGGTCGAGGCAAAGCAAATACCAGCACTGAACTTTTTGTGTGTATTTTTAATTCTCATAAGCATAGATGCAATTTGATTAAATATATAAACCAAAAGCTGATTTTCAATTTTTTCCTCCTTTTTTGGTTACTATAGCTAATAATATAACTTTGAATAGGTACACTTTAACTCTTTGTGGGTGGGTTGGTGCTTGGTGGGATACATCACTTTTCTATTTTTCTTAAAGTTCTGATTCTACTAATCAATCATATTCATAATGACAAGTAAAATACCTTTTTCAATAATTAATCTACCGAAACGATGAGTCCAAATTACTTGGTATGGGTTGTGGGTAAGAGACTGAACAAAATGAAACAATTTTATGATCTTTCGATTGCATATGCATTTTTTCCTGGATTTAACAGTTTTACACGTTTCAAAATTTCATCAAACCTCACAACAGTGCGGAAAGTATAAAGTTCCTTTACCTGAGTATCATCCAATTTAAAATAAACCGGCAAAAAAAAAAAGAAAAGCTCAACGAGTGACATTTAATTTAGGTAAGATCTCTAAAAAACATTACATGCATTTTATTTAGGAAAATAAAAAGTTAAACTCAAAACACCACTTAAAAGCTTCGAGTTCTCCACAATTTAAAGGAACTGAGATTGTCTCACTACACTACAAGAAACTAAGAAAGACACAAGATATGGTCTCTACATCTCCGGTTTCTCCTTCTAAGGTCTTTCTCCAGAATAATTATCTTTTTCTCATTTCCTTTTTTTGGTTCATCTTATTAATTAAATCTTGTTTGCAGGAAATCGATCAGAAGTCCGACGAGAAATGGACGGCTGGAGATCCATCACGGCCAGCGAAGTGGTGGTACTCCACCTTCCACACCGTCACTGCCATGATCGGCGCTGGAGTTCTCAGCCTCCCTTATGCCATGGCTTACCTTGGCTGGTACTCTTTCTTTAATCTTATTTACAAACTTTGTGCTCCCCAAGTCATGTTTTTTTTAACCATTCGAGTCTAGGGATATTATGAGTCTTTTTGTGTCTCCGGTGCTAGATTATGTTGTGTTTGTTTCAAGCGAACTAATGACTAATTTTGTTTGCTACTAATTCTTTAATTTTGAAACATGTAAAAATAAATGAAAATTCACGTCATGGGTCTTTCTAGTAAGATACTTATTAATCCGTAAACAAGATTCGTTACTTTAAGCTGATGATTTTGAAACACTTGCAAATAATTCAGATATAGTTAGAAGTTTCATACAAAACATGTATAAAGGAAAAAAAAACAAAAAGCAATACGTATTTTGAACTAGTTGTGATTAAATTCAGATATAAGAAAATTAAGTGAGCAAAAACTGCACTTAGCTGGTGATTTTAAACTAGTTTTAACTTGCAACTAACATTCATATATACGAAGATTCTTAGAACATTTGAAAAGAAAAAAAATATAGGAAAAAAAGCAACATGCAAATTTATTTTGTTGGTTGGTAAGATATAAAGGTAAAGTTGTTGTGTGGTGAAAACAGGGGACCAGGGACATTGATGCTGGCCCTTACATGGGGACTGACACTAAACACAATGTGGCAAATGGTGCAGCTCCATGAGTGCGTACCGGGAACCCGGTTTGACCGGTATATCGATCTAGGCCGGTACGCTTTCGGCCCGAAACTCGGCCCATGGATCGTCCTCCCGCAGCAGTTGATCGTGCAGGTCGGCTGCAACATCGTTTACATGGTGACAGGTGGCAAGTGCTTGAAGCAGTTCGTGGAAATCACGTGCTCAACATGCACTCCCGTACGACAGTCGTACTGGATCCTCGCCTTCGGTGGGGTCCACTTCCTCCTCTCTCAGCTCCCTAACTTCAACTCCGTCGCCGGCGTCTCCTTGGCCGCCGCCATCATGTCTCTCAGGTCTCTCTCGCTCTCACACACCTTATCATCACATTATTGTTTTACCATTTCGATTGTTTATACGCTATGTACTATGTAGCTACTCGACGATAGCGTGGGCAGGAAGTCTCTCACATGGAAGGTTGGATGACGTGAGTTACGATTACAAGGCCAAGAATCCAAGTGACTTCATGTTCCGAGTCTTCAATGCCTTAGGTCAGATCTCATTTGCTTTCGCGGGTCACGCCGTGGCTCTAGAGATCCAAGCCACGATGCCTTCGACTCCAGAGAGACCATCAAAGGTGCCCATGTGGCAAGGCGTGATCGGCGCTTACTTGGTCAACGCCATTTGCTATTTCCCAGTGGCTCTAATATGCTATTGGGCCTTTGGTCAAGACGTGGAAGACAATGTGCTGATGAATCTACAAAGACCGGCTTGGCTTATTGCTTCTGCTAATCTCATGGTTGTTGTCCACGTCATCGGTAGCTACCAAGTGTTTGCTATGCCTGTCTTTGATCTTTTGGAGAGGATGATGGTTACTAGATTCGGTTTTAAGAATGGAGCCGCTCTCAGGTTTTTCACTCGAACTACTTATGTTGGTAAGATATTATTTTTGTTCATGATATATTTATAGATATATGTCTAAATTAAGAAACTAATTTACACATGCAATATATTGTGGTTGGAATGGCAGCATTTACATTGTTTATTGGAGTGTCTTTCCCATTCTTTGGAGACCTTCTAGGGTTCTTTGGAGGATTTGGCTTTGCACCCACTTCCTTCTTTGTAAGTCCACTTTAAATTCTATGATTTCATTGTTGTGATGAAGATAAGTCACTAATTTATCTTGCTATGGATATATATTTTTGACTCCGTAGCTCCCAAGTATAATGTGGCTTATTATCAAGAAACCAAAGAGATTCAGCGTCACGTGGTTGGTCAATTGGGTAAACATCTATATTTCCATTTTGTTTACCAATCTTTTGAAAATGAACAATGTTCTAGATAGTTGATCTCTATGTCTTTGTTTTTTTTATTGGACAGATCTCCATTATCGTAGGTGTATTTATAATGCTGGCGTCAACAATCGGTGGACTAAGGAACATCATTGCGGATTCTTCTACTTATAGCTTCTACGCTTAATACTGAATGTATCGTATTTACTAAAGTACTGATCATTGGATCATCTCATTATAAGTGTAGGAATAAAAGAACCACATAAAAATGGTCGGGCGTATCGAGTTAGAGAGAAATATTTAATCTGGCTACCAATTCAATAAGACATCGATCTTCCATGCCATCATCCACACGTGTCCTCCTCCTATTCTTACAATCATTTTGTCATTTGATAAAAAACCCTAAGCCATAATATGATTTATGAAGCACGTCGGTTGAATCAACCCTATAATTTGGGTCTCTTCATAAGCACGCACACATACACATGATTCCAAATTTCCATACAAAAAAAGAATAAGCACCGATTTCCAAAAGTTTATTGAAGTCAAATGGCTGCTTCAGCCCATTTTAATCATTTCACTGTAGATGACATTTCAGATTTGTTTTCGTAATCATTTGTGTAAAACGTCTGATATAAAGATTAATTATCTAAGAAACTAGCTGTTGGATAATGATGTTTTCCATCTTCAGCTCTCACTACAAACCTACAATTTTTTCACAAATAAAAAACAATAGAGTAAGACAGAAGACAATTGTCAAAAATGAAATTAATGAACATATCAAGATAGGACTCAGAAGTATACCATAAAGAAGGTTTGAAGAAACATATGGCCTAAACAGAAGTAAGAAAAGACTGGATGCCAAAGATGATGAACAGCATTCCACCAGAAAGAGCAACCTGCAACAAAGACACGAGTATCAATTTTTTTGTTCTCAAATGCAGCAAAAGATGATGAGAATTGAGAGAGATCTTTACTATTCGTTCTGATATCTGAGAAGCTAAGCTCTTTCCTCCAATCACAGCAGCAGTGGTGCACAAAAACTGTGCCCTGTGTTAGGCAACACATTCTAGTCAGCAGCAACATTGATTGATTCAAACATATGTAACTTTCTAATGCAGACACACAAAACGGTGGTAGCGGTTTTAACAATGAAACTTACACAACGCCACCAAGGACCACACCGAGTGGATTTTCATCCGCAGCTAAACCAATTGTAGCAAGCTAGACAGAAAAAGGAGGTACGGTGAGTATGTGAAAGCATTTAGATAGAATCAATCGAAGTAAGTTAAGAGGAGCTACCTGACTCTTGTCACCAAATTCACCAAAGAAATTAATCGAGAATGCCTGCAAGAAGCAGAGGGGAAATATGAAACTACTTCAGGAAAATCTAATGCTTTTGGGAGGAAATTCTGAGAGGAACTTAATATTTTTTTACCTTGAGGAAAATTGGGGAGAAGAATTGTGTGAGGAAAGGCCTTATGTGCTTTTTGTTTTCATCTTCACTCTACAATGACAGCCAAATGGTTTTTGTTACATCTTATAGCCCAGACAAGTCCGTGACTTTGGTGTTTTTAGTTCCATCCATACCTTACTGCTGTCTTTTGTGGTTTTGCCATTAGCCTTTAAATCAGAATCCTATGACAACACACACAAGAAATGTCAGACCACAAAAAGCATTTATCTAAACGTATGAATGAGTATTCACAGAAAAGAACAGACCAGTTCTGCTTCCACTTCAGCCAATTCTTCCGAACTCCTGCCAACAAAGTAGAATCAGATTAACCTCAATTTCTTTGATGTAAATAATTCAAAACAATGATGAAGAATTATTATTATTACCCTCCTCCTTGTTTGAAACCGTCCCACAAAGACCATAGACCGAAACCAAAGAACAACAGTGTTGTTATGTGATGAGTCCATTTGCGAGAGATCTGCAATTGAGTGTTTGCATCAGCATATCATTTAGCAAAAGACTGAAACATTCCATACAATCTAAGTTCAAGCAAAACGCATTTCACAAGTCAAAATCATACCAGGTTTGGAGCAGCCCATCCAACAGTGGCAGAGAGGATGGTCATGACCTAAGGAATTAGCAAAGACAAGAGCTACTAAATCTGGGAGAGAAGTCACTGAAACCAATAATCAAAAGGACTCAGGAAAACTTACAATCAGAGCCGATAAACAACCAGCCAACACAAGTCTCCTAGGATAACGCATCGCCAAAATCTGATAACAAGTGAAAAATAAGATATAAGCTTCCAAATCAATATAACAACAACACAAGTATCTTACTCTCTCAATGAGGCAGTGGCAGATTCTAAACTAACAAAAACACTATCAAACTAAATAGCAACAGAAAGCTCCTCTGACTTGACACAAGATTCATTCAGATACGCAACAAAGGAGCTCAATTTACAAAATTTCAGCTAGATTTTAGGAATTTGGACTTTGTTCATCACGCCCAGATGCAACTTTTCAATCAGACTTGTTTCAGAACAGAATCAAAACCAAAGTTTTATATTAAAGCCATTGACTTCTTCGACCTTAAAATCCCACGAATTACAGAAAGCAGAAGGACTCAGAAATGTTGAAAAGATGAACACTTACAGCAGCAGCGAAGAACGTCTTGTCGCCAATCTCCGAGACAAAGGTCATGGCGAGTGACTTGGTAAAACCCTAATAAAACCCATCCAATTGTAAACCCAGATTAGCTTCCACAAAGAAAAAATTAGATTTTCTGGAAAACAGATATCTCTGACTGTACCTGCAACACCGTACTCATGACTGCCGAGTTAAAATCGACAGTGAATCAGCTAAGAACGAGAGACAGATATCCGAAACTCCCGATCTTCTCAAGCTGGTTCAGAGACGACGGAGTAATCTACCGCCGGAGGAAGCTAACAGCCGGCGACAGAGAGCAGAAAAACGTCACTCGCTGAAGAGAGAGAGCGTGGACGAAAGTTGTTGTGAAGTGCAAAAGATGAATGCTTTTTTTTTCTAGTTTTTATTTTGTGGTGAAATAGATTCGGATTCTTTAATTCTTAAGATCTTGCCACGTGGATCGATACTATCCAACGATTTAGCTTAGTGGGACCCAAAAAGCCCAACTTGATTTTTTAACAAAGATGCTAATTTATTTCTTTGGTTTGGTTTCGTCACTGTGCCCGAGTAGAAAAAGGATAAAAGACTTTTACTTCGCTGATGTCTTGTCTCAGTCACGATTTGGACGTCACTTGGAGAATATATATCTGTGTTCATACCTTTTGAGAGCTGCCTAAAACTGATTGGAGATGAATCAATTCGCTAAAATTTTTATAATTTTGTTTTATCCAACTAGATGTTTTTAACCAATTCTAAACAGAGAGTTGACCGATTTCTGATTGGAGATGAATTGATCCTCAAAAGCACGTAATTTGATTCGATTTGATGATCCTTTTTTACTTACTTCTTAAACTATGTAATACTCGGAGCAACTTGTGGGTGATAAATTATATGATATACAAGAAAACCAAATAATTGCTTCAAACCGTAAAGCTCGACTAAACCAATTCCGGTTTGTGATTTAAACCGACCAAATTGTTTGGTTTCGTCGATATTTTATATGTTTTGACTCGTTAGAACTTAGAACCAGAGGGTACACAAACACAGTGACTTGAGAAAAACAAACGATCCAGCTCGAAATGGCGTCGATACGACGGAGATGGAGTGGTAAAGCTTTGAAATTTGGTCAGTCCCAGACAGGTATTCTGAGAAATGCTTCATTCCATAGCTCGTACAAGCTCTTGAATTTCATGGAACGAGACTTTTCTGGTCTCAGCAGCAGCGATAGAAATCTCTCTTACAGAGAAAGATTGAGGAGTGGGCTTGTGACATCAAAGCGGATGATGCTGTGAATCTGTTCCAGTCCATGCTTCGGTCTCGTCCCCTCCCCTCTGTCATAGATTTCAATAGATTGTTTAGTGGCATTGCCAAAACAAAACAGTACGACATCGTTTTAGATCTCAGCAAGCAAAATAGCAAATGGAGTTTCAAGGGATTGCTTATGACCTCTACTCTCTGAACATTATGATCAATTGCTTCTGCCGGCGCCGGAAACTCGGCTTTGCTTTCTCTGTTTTGGGGAAGATGTTGAAACTTGGGTATGAGCCTCGGTCACCTTTTCAACTCTGATGAATGGATTATGTCTCGGAGGGAGAGTTTCTGAAGCTCTGACGTTAGTTGATCGAATGGTAGCAATGGAGCTTACACCCAATCTCATAACGCTTAACACCCTCATCAATGGAGTTTGTCTCAAAGGCAAAGTGTCTGAAGCTATGGATTTAATCGATCGAATGGTGGAAAATGGATGTCAGCCCATGCAGTTACCTATGGACCAGTTTTAAATGTTATGTGCAAACAAGGGAAACTGCTATGGCCTTGGATTTGCTCAGAAAGATGGAAGGAAGAAAGATCAAGCTCGATGCAGCCAAATACAATATTATCATCGATGGTCTTTGCAAAGATGGGAAGCTCGACGATGCAATCAATCTTTTCAATGAAATGGAAATGAAAGGGATCAAAGCAATGTTATCACCTACAGCACTCTCATCGGAGGCTTTGTAAAGACGGTAGATGGAATGATGGCGCAGAGTTGCTGAGGGATATGATCACAAGGAGAATCATCCCCAACGTTGTCACTTTCAATGCGTTGATTGACAGTTTTGTGAAAGAGGGAAAACTTGTAGAGGCTAAAGAACTGTACAATGAGATGATGCAAGAGGTATAGCTCCTACCACATTTACATATAATTCTTTGATAGATGGGTTGTGCATGGAGAAGCGCCTAGACGAGGCCAGTCAGATGTTGATCTATGGTTAGCAAGGGATGCGATCCTGATATTGTGACTTATAGTATCCTTATAAATGGATATTGCAAGGCTAATCTAGTTGACAAGGTTTGGAAATCTTCCGAAATTGTCTCTGAGAGGACTGGTAGCCGATACAGTCACTTATAGCACTCTCATCCAAGGGTTTCTTCAATCGGAAAACTGAATGTTGCCAAAGAACTCTTCCAAGAGATGGTTTCTCGTGGTGTGCCCCATGCTGTAACTTATGGTATTTTGTTGGACGGTTTGTGTGACAATGGAGAACTAGAAAATGCATTGGAGATATTTGAGAAATATGGAGAAGAGTAAATTGGATTTTGATTTGGTATCTACAATATCATCATACACGGGATGTGCAATGGTAGTAAGGTCGATGATGCTTGGGATTTGTTCTGTAGCCTTCCTCCAAAGGAGTGAAGCCCAATGTTAAGACATACACCGTAATGATTGCAGGACTATGTAAGAAAGGCTCACTGTCCGAAGCTGACCTGTTGTTTAGAAAGATGGGAGAGGATGGGATTGCACCATAGTGGTACATACAACACACTAATCCGAGCACATCTCGGGGGTAGTGGCCTAACCACTTCAGTTGAACTCATCGAAGAAATGAAGAGTGTGGATTCTCTGCAGATGCTTCCACCATGAAGATGGTTATTGATATGTTATCAGATGGTAGATTGGACAAAAGCTTTCTAGATATGCTTTCTTGAATGTCTCTGTATCTTTTGTATACAGGACTCCCATATACTAGTTTATAAATGGCCCAAATTATCAAACGAACCGTTGCATCCAAGTAACCTAAAGGCCCATGAGGGACCATGATTTTACATTTTCTGGTCATCATATTGCTCCACATTATTGTTCTATGTTAAATAAAGTCATGTATTTGTAAATCCACATAGTAATATGATTTCACATGTGTATGTATGATATGAGTTTTAGATACCATATAGCTTTGTTATATACACTTAGATTAAGAGAAATTGAATGGCTGAGCTGTTAAAAAAAATTGAAAGTCATTAACAAAGCCTTAACTCATGGCCAAAAACACTCCAAAGTGGTGGATTTATTTAAATGAAGAGGGATCTCAAAAGTGATGAGATTCTAAACGACAAACATAGATATACTAATAAGAGCCACACTAACCGCATTGAGATCATAAAACAAGTTTATTTTACACTCCACACTTAAAGACGATGAAGAAACCTCCTCTTCCCCTTAAACCATTTATCTATCTTCATTCTTGAAGCGTCTTCAAGATACTTATATATACAAATCACCTTGGAATCTGCAAAATCCAAGACAGCTTTTGTCTTTGTTTAAAGAAGCTTTTGTCTCATTTTCACCTTCCCCACTCACTTTTGTCTTCAGTCTCTAAGAAGAAAATCCACACTCTCTCTTTCAGACAAATCTAACGGTCGGAAACTAAATATGTCTTCTCACCGTTCCTTTCTCTTCTTCTTCATCGTCTTCATCTTCCTCGCTTCACAATCTTCCGTCACTTCCAGAATCTTGCCAGAGATCTCTGTAACTACTTCATCCACTCTCTATGTCGCTGATTCCATTCGCAGAACCATGGATGCGTCGTCGTTTCGACTGAACCAGCAAGAAGAACAGACTCACTCTCCTTCTTCTCCTTCTTCTTCTTCATCTTCGTTTAGCTTGCAGCTTCATTCTCGAGCTTCCGTCAGAGGAGTCGAACACACAGACTACAAGTCTCTCACACTGGCTAGACTCGACCGTGACTCAGCCCGAGTCAACTCTCTCATGACCCGTTTAGATCTAGCAATCAACAACATATCCAAATCAGATCTCAAACCCATCGCCACAATGTACACCACGGAGCAAGAGATCGAAGCTCCTCTAATCTCCGGCACCACTCAAGGAAGCGGCGAGTACTTCACACGCGTCGGAGTCGGAAACCCGGCGCGTGAAGTCTACATGGTGCTCGACACCGGAAGCGACGTTAACTGGCTACAATGCGCGCCTTGCGCCGAGTGTTACCACCAGACCGAGCCCATCTTCGAGCCCTCGTCTTCCTCTTCCTACGCTCCTCTCTCCTGCGACACTCAGCAGTGCAACGCCCTCGAAATCTCCCAATGCAGGAACGCCACGTGTCTCTACGAGGTTTCTTACGGCGACGGCTCTTACACCGTCGGCGATTTCGCCACCGAGACGCTCACCATCGGCTCTGCTTCTGTTCAGAACGTCGCCGTCGGGTGCGGACACAGCAACGAAGGATTGTTCGTCGGCGCCGCCGGTTTGCTCGGACTCGGCGGCGGATTGCTCGCTCTTCCCTCGCAGCTCAACACGACGACGTTCTCGTATTGCCTCGTCGACCGTGACTCGGACTCGGTTTCGACCGTCGAGTTCGGCTCTGCTCTCCCTCGCGACGCCGTCGTGGCTCCGCTGCTGCGTAACCACCAGCTCGAGACGTTTTACTACCTTGGACTCACCGGGATAAGCGTCGGCGGCGAGATGCTTCAGGTGCCGGTGTCTTCTTTCGAGATGGATGAGTCGGGAAGCGGCGGGATCATAATTGACTCGGGAACCGCCGTGACTCGTCTCCAGACCGGAATCTATAACGCGCTTAGAGACGCGTTTGTTAAGGGGACGACGGATTTGGAGTTGGCCAGAGGAGTGGCAATGTTCGACACTTGTTACAATCTGGCGGCTAAGACGACGATAGAGGTTCCGACGGTGGCTTTCCACTTTCCCGGCGGGAAGATGCTTGCATTGCCGGCGAAGAACTACATGATTCCGGTTGACTCGGTGGGGACGTTCTGTCTTGCGTTTGCGCCGACGGCGAATCCGCTGGCGATCATAGGCAACGTGCAGCAGCAAGGGACACGTGTCGCTTTCGATCTGGCGAATTCCCTCATTGGATTCTCGACAAGTAACTGCTAGTAGCATTTAATACTTGACTGAAGGAAGAACAATTAAATAACTAGCAAAAATGTTAGTATTAGACTAGTGTTGTGTGACAGTGTTTCCTTTTAATATTGAATTTTTATTGTACTTGTTGTTGCAGAGAGATAAAGTGGGAAAAGATGGATTTTGTTTATGTAATCGTATAATTAGCAAATGGCATAAATCCCTATAATGAACTACGCTTATGATGTTATGACTTAAGTAGAGATTAAAGGTATAGGAAATGTTGATAGATCAAATGATATATTGTAGTAAGTTATAAGAAAGTAGGTAACAAAAACACTCTTATGTAATTAGTTACAATAACAGTGAACTAGATTTTGTTTATAACAAAAATAAGACTTGTCACAAAAGTTTTATATTTGTGCTCTTTATAAGACTTTTGTACAAAAAGATCAGTAAGTTGCTTCTTAATAGTTAATATGAATGTATGCGAATGAGTAATGCTATCGTGCTCTTACAAAATGAGATAGCCAATCTGAATGTATTAGTTACAAAAATATTTTATCAGATTTGTTTTTTTAACAAAACTTTTATACTGTGCAGATTATTGTAAAAAGATCCGTAAGTTGATTCTTAATATGAATGTATGCAAATGAGTAATGCTGTCGTGCTATAGGTTGATTAGTGTTGCGTTTGTCGTCCCAGGAGAAGAGAGACTCAGCAAAAACTAGCTCTTCCACACATGGTCCTCTCCCTTTCGACGGATTGAGGAGATAGGAGAACGAGAAGACAAATGGAGCAGACCCAGCCTTGTGGTCTCTACAGATTACGGTATGGTGGACATGTGGCCCTTCTTGTATGGTTTAAGAGGGAAGACGAAGAGTTGAGGAAGTTCGCTGCAGATGGGTCTTTGAAAAACCTTGCTGGGCTTGTACGAAACCAGGAGAGCCATGTGTTGTGTTGGGCATACGCAGCAGGGGACCTTGTTAGCACCGAAAGGGTAATCAGAGGTTTGATACAGAATTTGTTCCGCTCTGTCCCTAGGACCTTGTTGATAACATGGAGCCAAAGGAGAGAGGTAAAGACGAAGAAGCAGGTATAGATCACAAGTGCTATGGATGGACGGTTGGTAAGGCTTTGCAATTCGTCAAAGAAGCATGTGTACCGAAGGAAGCACAAAGAAACATTTGACTATAAATTGCATCGTACTCCTCCAACCACATCTGAGGAAAGAATCAAGATAAAATCCTTCAAAAGATATGACAATCTGCGTATAGCATTTGAGAGGTTGGACTTTCAGCCGGTTGAAGCAAGTTTAATTGTTTACGAGGACATGTAAATTTCAGGAAAGGTTAGATTCCAAGTAAACAATAGGTTTCTAGATAACAACATGTTAGTTGTGTAAAACAATGACAAAACCTCATTCTTAAAATCTTCCAAAATCTCCTAAAGTCTCCTAAAATATGAAATGAACTAAAATCACTCAAAACCCCTATTCCAATACATCCCCCTTAATGTTGTTAATGTCAGAAAGAAAACTCTCTAATTATATATAAGATTGTTAGGTTTAGGGGATTATAAAAACTGCACAACTGATGTACAGCGCCATACTCTTACTTATGTATAAGAAAACCATTTACAAAACATGGTTAAACAAAGTGAAAATTTCAAAACTATATCTTTTTGGGTGTACATTTTCAAAGCTACACCTCTAAGGTGTTTACTTCCAAAAACTACATTTTTTCATTGAGTAAAATGACTCTAAACTCAAAATGTGAACTCTAAACCCTAAAATACAAAATTACCAAATTAATTAGTGGATTTCGTTTTTCATTTACCTGGTCGGATTTTTCAGTTGGGTGATCGCTATCTATAAAAAGCAATTTCGACTAACTGGAATCGAATTAACTTATTTAATCGTAGATGTAGAATTACTGAGTTAGGGTAAATTATTGATTAAAAATTTAAAATGATGAATTGGGTTTAGAGGGAAAGCAGTAAAAAAAAAATAATAGCAGCAGATAAGAAGTTGTTATGTACTTAAAAGTTTTGCGACATACAACAAAATAAACCGATGATTAACCAAAAATCCGGATATTAGTCTAAAATCTAAAATCCGATAAACTCCCCCAACGAGGAAAAATAAGGGAGAGTGTCATAGATCTCTATCTACCAATCAAGTCGCCTATGAGGCTACTCCTCTGTGTTCTGTTGCGTACAACCAGACTTAATCCGAGCACCCTCGTCCCGTCTAGATCAAGAGACTAAAACAAAAAAGAAAGAAAAATTGGAAAACTGAAAAACCTGAAAAATTGAAAAATCGAAAACTCACAGTTTATGCAGCTTCTGGAGTAGCAAACACCACGTGGCACCATCCTCTAAATTCACCAGCAGCATTTCTTATTAATCGGATTTCTAAATTTCCATTGAAGAGAGACTCCCTGTATGATAACAACAAAAGACAAAAAAACAGGTAAACAAGAGAACAATTGCCAAAAGACCAAAAACATATGGTAATTCGTTAGTTGTTACTTACACTGTCTCGCGAGCGGTCTCCTCGTCAAGGTTGAGGTTGCTGACAAAAACAGTTGAGGAAAACGCCTACACATACACATATCCAAACACACACAAAACTGAATACTTTTTGGTACTGAAAAAACAAGAGTGATTCACAAAAACAAGAAGAACAAGTTACCGGCTCAGCCTCTGGAGGTGGCTCCTGATGAATCGGAACATGCACAATGGCCCATTGCTGAGGCTGCACAATCGGCGCAATAGGTTCAGGCACGACGGCCTCTTGCTGATCCGGGACATTAAGGTAAACAATAGGTTTCTAGATAACAACATGTTAGTTGTGTAAGGTAAAACAATGACAAAACCTCATTCTTAATGTTGTAATTTTTTATGTTGTCAATGTCGGAAAGAAAAATCTCTAATTATATATAAGATTGTTAGGTTTAAGTGATTACAGAAAACTGCACAACTGATGTACAATGCCATAGTCGTTACTTATGTATAAGAAAACCATTTACAAAACATGGTTAAACAAAGTGAAAATTTCAAAACTACACCTTTTTGGTTGCATATTTTCAAAACTACATCTCTAAGGTGTTTATTTTCAAAAACTACATTTTTTTCATTGAGTAAAATGACTCTAAATTCAAAATCTGAACTCTGAACTCTAAACCCTAAAATCTGTGCATAATTCTTTGAAGTGTAATATTGGCTGTTGCTGGTACCTCTTGAACTCTAATTCTAGTGGTAATGTTTGCGCCTCTTGGCTGATCCGTGATCACTCGGGATTGGTTCTTTTCCATAGCCGGAGATCTTATTCGATGGTCTCATGCGCAGAAGTTGAACTACTTAGCTTTGTCTGGACCATTGAATCCTCAAACAGCCTGCGGTTTGGAAGAATGTTATTTGAATCCCCTCTTCTCCAAGCTAGGAAGGTCCTCCTTGAGCTTCACCTATATCCGCACCTCGCCCGCTGGTGGAGGCTATCTTCTCCTTCCTCCATTCCTTTGACACTTGGAGTCTTGAACATATTGCTTACTCGCCTAATCCTGCTGCTAATGCTATTGCTCACAGTGTGATTACAGGCCATTGGTATCAGTCCTACACAGCCAGAAATGGCCCGGTTTGGCTTCACGATGTCCTTGCTGCCGAAGCTTTGGCGACTTAAGCGTTGGACTGGTTCCCTGAATACTTTCTCGTGGCCCTGACTGTTTGTTCACTCTATCTTTTCTTGAGGTTTCTTTCGCCTACTGGCACAAGGAAGACCTCTGTTTTTTTCTCTGCTCTTTTTGTTATCTTTCTCATTCTTTGTTTTGGTAAATACTATATGACTAGTAGAGGACTCGCGCAAACGCGCGATATAACATTGCAGTTTTGTGAAAAAAATCTGGTTTTGTGAAGAAAATCTAACTCTTAAACCCGAGCCCCGACCCAAAATCCCTAATCAAAATTTAAAAAAACCCAAGCTTTTTAATTTGTCTAAATCCGAAAACCCTAAATCCAAAAAATCCTGAAAACCCTGAACCGAATAAAAAAAAAACTCAAAACGTTTTCACCCAAACCCTGCCTAAAAACCCTAATAAAATTCTAAAATATCCAAACTTTTTTAAAATGTCTTAACCCAAAAACACTGAACTAAACCCAAAAAAAATTCGAACCCAAACCGAACAGAAATCTAATATATTATTTGCGAAGTGATTATTTCGTTTCCAGCCACCACGTTAACTCTCAGCTGGTTGATTACTCGGTTACCCTTAATGAAAATTCTATTTTTAAATCTTCATAATTTCCTTTTTTATTTTCACGATTTATATTTTTTATTTAAAATATTTTATGATGATAATAATCCTAACTACTATATTATGCGCCACAATTATGTAAAAATTAGAATATTTGGAAAGAAAAAAAAAGGAAAACCTAGGTTTCTTAACCGACTATGTTTTATATAAATAGATAGCAATATTGAAAATCTAAACAATCCACAATTCTTCAACCTAGAGGTGAGATACTTTCTTCGAATCCATATATCATCTTCTCTCATGTAGGTTATTCGTTTTTAGTTTGATCTTACGTATGTACCTTTAAGTTAAAGTCGTATAATCAGTCGATATGTTCTCTGTTCGACAATAGATTCACAGGAATATCCGATCCATTCATGATTTCTTCAGTCTGAAAAAAATAAAAACAGAACCAATGATGCCGAGATCCCTAGCTTCATGACGCTTTACTTCGAAAATCCTGATCATCAAGGTCACCAAGTTGGCCCTGATGATCCTCAGATCACAGAAGCTGTAGTGAACATCGATAGGTTAATAGGAAGAATCATCGATGGGTAAGAGAAAAGAGAGGTTTTTTATGATGTGACAATGATTATGGTTGGTGATCATGGAATGGTTGGAACTTGTGATTAGAAAGTCGTTGTTCTTGATGATTTAGCTTCTTGGATCGAAATCCCTAGCAGCTGGGTTCAGTATTACACTCCGTTGCTAGCGATTAAACCGCCTTCGAATGGAAACGCAGCGGATATGTGGCGAAGATGAACGAAGCCCTAAGCTCTGGTGAAGGAAGTTGAGAATGGCAAGTACTTGAAAATTTATCTCAAAGAGGATTTACATAGCAGGCTGCATTATGTGGAGAATGATCGGATCCCTCCTATTATAGGATTGGTCGATGAGGGTTTTAAAGTGGAGCAGAAGAAGAGTGAAGCCAAAGAATGTGGTGGAGCTCATGGGTACGACAATGCCTTCTTCTCGATGAGAACTATATTTATAGGGCATGGTCCGATGTTCTTGGAGGGAAAGAAAGTGGCTTCTTTTGAGAATGTTGAGATATACAATGTGATCAGTTCGATTCGAGTGTATAAAAATTATCACATGTTTTTTTTGTTTGTTACAGAAATGTTTTTTACCAAAAAAGAAGAGAAATATACCGGAGGAAGCCGCGAGAGTGCGATCTTCAAAGCCACCGTCTTCCGTCGCCCATCTACTCCGAGACACCACCGTTGTTCGTAAAGTCGTCCAGTGGAAGCTAACCTCTTTTACGCTCATCGCCATGTCTCCCCTTATTTTTTCATGAGAGAGTGAATAATGTTCCACCATTGTTGTTGTTGCTTAGAATCCAAGTTACCTCCCTCCACCTTTGAGCTGTTGTTGCGTTGAGTAGAACCTATCGTTGTCACTGGTAAGCGAGACTGGTTTATGATTGCCGTTTACAAAACTGGTTTGTGAGCTTGTGGACATTGTTGCTTGAGGCCTAAGCTTCTGTTGGTAATTGTTGCTTCATAATATATGTGATTTTACCTCCAAAATATGTTCTTGCTTTTAGTATCCACCATGTTGTCCTTCTTAACTAGCTTTCGGATGTGAGCTCGTGGTTCTCCCATAGTGCTCAGTCTGTTGCTCATTGAACTGATTAAGGAGAGATATATCATTTAGATGTATATTGCCCGTGTCGCAAGACTGAATTCATTTAATGCTCGATGAGATAAGAAGTTTTAAAGCAGTTGGATGCAAAGACGAGGGATTGTGCTGCTTTTACGCTGATCAAATAGAGTAATGAACAATATGATTAACATCTAAGATTGTTTATCCTACTTTTAGTTTGATTACATCTTTCGTAAGAGTGGAGAAAACGAAGAAACCCGAAGAAGAAAATAGAAGAAGGAGAAGATGAAACAAAAAAAAGAATGAAAATTAAGATGTTAGATAAATAAAATAAAGAAAAAAATGTGGTTAGGCTGATCAAATAAACCCTAACCCAGTTTGTAATTTGTGGTTAGGCTGATCAATTCTTTATTTACCAACTATGTATTGTATTATCGGTGAGTCACCTCTATGATAACTCTGTTTTGTAAACCAAAACTACTACTGACATTCTGGTGTATGATAAATGCTCAAAAATCTTCAAATGTCATTACTGTTATAATAAAACTACTTTTAAATCCTAAATTTTGAACCCTAACTTTACAGTAAACCCCCTTCCCGTACACCATAAGGAGATATAATTTATAAGTTTGTGATCAATAGATCAATAGAATGAGAGACAAGTACAAAATGAGGAAAAACATAGAATTAAACGTTATCTAAACCTTGAGCACATTACGCCATTAACCATAAATAGAATGATGTTGATGTAAATTGAGATACATAAATGGCATAATAAAAGAAAAAGAATAACAATAAATTAACCTTTTTATGAAATTTCAATAAAGATATATTGAGATTTTAGGGAAATTATTGCCATCAATACTTATAAGTACTTCTCATAGTTTATTTTGTTTCCTTTCTATCAAAACATATATAATGAAGAAGAAGAATAACATAAGAGCAGAATAAGAAGATAAAATCAAAAAAAAAAAAAATCGTAGATGTTGTGATTATTTGAAAATGTTAATTGTAAATAAAATAATAAAACGAATAAAAACCCGAAAATAAAAAGATTACGATAAAGAAAGAGGAAAAGAAAAAGAGATTAGAAAGTTGGATAAGAATTAAAAAATAACGGTAGAAAATGAAGGGAAAAAAATCTGAAAGAAATAGAAGACAAAGTAAAAGAATAAGAAGATAAAATGGGGTTGGGATTTACAATGTATGTTTTATATTGATGGGTGTAACATCCTGGTTTGTAATAAATGAGGAGATGCTTAAGAGAATTGATTTGGCTATCTATGTCAACAATGTGTACTTACCTTTTTGGTCAAAAGTTTATAAGTAACTCCAGAGTTAAGCTTGCTTGGGCTGGAGTAGTTGAAGAATGGGTGATCTTCCGGGAAGTGGTTTCCGAAATCGTGTGAGTGAGGCCAAAACACGGGGAAAGGTCGGGTGTTGATTGCAGGGATAGTAAACAAGTCATTAGAGCCTCTCAAAAATAACGGACCGGCCGTCGGACAGGGGTGAAGCCCATGGGCCGAGATGGGCCTGTGGATGCAGAGAGAGGGCGTGGGTGACTCACCGGGAGGAACGGTCGGGGTGTTATAATGGGTGTAAGGTTTAGTTTTTCCAGCATTTTAAAATTTATGAATACACTACATTACCGATTTAAAAAATCTTCCTTTAAAAAAAAAAGCAAAAGCGGAACCAATTTGTAATGCGGGGTTCATGTGTGCGGTTTAAAGGGATTATAATGTGGGTTTGGGTTTAAGGTGTAAGGCTGTTTAGGGGAGGGGGTTTAGGGTGTAGGGTTTTTTTTTTTTTTTTTTTCAACAGCCTAAGTTCCTAGATCGGCTCGGGAGCGAGACCGGTGGAACTGAGTTTACATAGTACACATCATAGGATTTATATTGATGGATGTAGGGTTTAGTTTTTGGTGCATTTTTAAAATTTTGAATTTAAATGGAAGTATATCAAAATTAAAAATTGTTGATTATAAATTTTTATCTAGCATTCTAAAATAAATTGAGAAATAGAAAAAAGCAAAATAATTAAAGCAAACACAGAATCAAAAGATAACAAAAAAAAAAAATTATAAGATCTCGACTATATAAATATTTCACAAATTCTTGAAAATATAAAGTATCAAATGAATTGATAAGTGAAATACAAGACATAAACAAGAACAAAAAACAAGAGAGATAAAGAAAAGAAGACAGTAGAAAAGAAGATGGAAAACTTTGAAAAGAAGAAAACTCGAACATGAAGAAAAAAAAATCAAAGAATAAAAAATGGAATGTGAAGAGAAAAAAGACAAAGAAGAGATAAATAAAAACTAGAATAAGATGATGTGAGAGAAGACGAAGATAATAAAGATAGAGAAAGAGAGATGGAGAATGAGAAAGATAAAAAACGGAAAAAGAGTGTAAAGAAAA